GATAAGACACGGGACACAAGGCAGGAATGATAATGCAATAAAGACAACAGGCTCATTTTAGACCAGAGCTCAAATCAGTCAAACAGTCTCATGAATGTGCAAGTTAAAACATTTCTTTCTTTGCAGCAGGTGTAAGGGATAACGTAATCAGGGTAAGGGAGTGAAAACAGAGCAAGGGGAGTGAGAAAGTTGGTGCAGACAAGATCAGGGAGCTTGAGTTTGATGGCAGTAGGGTGTATGATTTCCTGGATGGTAAACGGCCCTAGGAACCAGGGCGAGAGTTTGGGGCAGGCTCCTTTGATGGGGACATGGGCAGAGGAGAACCACACTTGTTGCCCAACCTGCTAGGTGGGAGAGGCCCGACGGCGGCAATCAGCCAGTCTCTTGTTCTGGTCTGCCATACACAATAAAGCGGCCCTAGTCTCATCCCAGATGGCTTGACAGCGAGTGATGTGGGCTTGGACAGAGGGGACAGCAATATCAGTTTCAGCAGAGGACAGCAGGGGAGGTTGGTAACCGAGGGATGCCTGAAAGGGAGAAATACCAGTGGTGGAACTAGAGAGTGCGTTATGAGCATATTCCACCCAGGGCAACAACTGGCTCCAGTCCTCTGGTGAGGAACTGGTGACACAGCAGAGGGCGTTTTCCAGCTCCTGGTTCAGCCGTTCAGCTTGGCCGTTGGTTTGGGAGTGATAACCGGAAGAAAGACAGGGACGTGCTCCGAGGGCAGTGCAAAAAGCAGACGTGAGAGGTGAATTGTGGACCGCGGGCAAACCTGACTTTAGCTTTAAGGCTACCAGTGCTGACTATGACTGTGACTCAGAGAGGAAATATACCCTAGAAAGGAGAGAAAAAGGCTCAGAGTAAAACTTATGGAGCAGATTCCTTTCCAGTGCTTACTACTTCAAAGAAAGCTATGGTCAAATATGTATGCGTTTGGTAACCACTGCACAAATAGATATACTATGAATTATAATGCAGATACTGTATGCTTGCAACTTGGAATGATTGCTACTGAGTACAAACACAGTATCTTCCATTGGTTTTCTGTAACTACTTGACCTTTTGCACTAATAGCTCACATTTTAGTTATGCTGTGTCTGTCTGTAATGTCATCTACCATTAGATAAATAGATGATAAATAGATGTATACAACCTAAAATCAGAAAAAGTTGGGGTGGCATGTAAAATCAAAATAAAACTGAAAATAGTGATGTGTAAATCATCTGTGTCCTGTATTACATTGAAAACAACACAGCAGTACATTATTTGATGTGACACCTCATCTATTTTATTCTTTGTTCAACATAAACACTCACATAAACCTAAACACTCTACTCAGGGAATTTGGGGGGGTTCAAGATGGTACCGTTGTGTTGGGCCTGCTGCTGGCTTCTCCTGTGTGTACTGTGTTTTTGCATGTTTGAAGCTACTACTGTTATCCCCACTCTGATATATGACCACCATACACTCCTGGAAATACGCTATTCTATGTTTGATCACCTGAGCGGACATCGTTACTACCGAACCAACTCGTTTCCACCCCCGCCGACCTCGATCCCCCCGTTTCTTTGGCGCTCGGATGGCTGTCCGCCCCGAGCACTCCGCCGGCGACGTCACGGAAGGAGGTCTGGAACCCATTGTAGGCTGAAGTCTGCGTTTTCATCATCCTTGGCAACTGGGAGATTGAGAGAACGGGGCTGCCACTCCTCCAGTGGGACCCTGGAGCTACCGCTTCCTTAAACCCATCGGCCTGGGCTCAGATCCGCCCTCCCCGCACTTCCGACTGATGAGACGCTCTGAACGACGGC